TTCCACTCTACCAGTGTGATGGCAGAAGTTGTGGGGTGAGAAGACTGGATTTGAGTTAAGTTGGAATCTTTTCTATTTCACAAATTGTGTGACTCTAAGAAAGTCCCTTAAGCTCTCAGGACCTCTCTGGTTTCCTCATCTATATAATGGTGCTGGTGAGAAGTTGTAGTAGATAATAGGCGTGGCCCCTTTCAGTTCTAAAAATCCAGGGTGATACTGGTAAGCTGTGTATTATCACTCTGCGGTGGGACCCTAATGAGCTGAATCCCCGGAGGAAAGTCATTAGGATGAAGGTAGTACATAAGGGGTGCATGTAATCCCCTGGAACTAAATTTACTACTGGGTTATCTTGGGGGAAAAATGTAACCCCTCTGGGCCTCACCTATAAATAAAGGGATTGGACTCTATGGCCTCAAAGGACACTTCTGGTTCTAAATCTCTGAACCCAGGGTCCTAAGAATATTTAGGTTCCCAATCATACAAGCCAGCCCTTAACTACAGAAGCCCATTTAAAGAAGATGACCACACAGTCTCCAACCTAATGAACACTTCTGATAAAGAATCTCTTCCTAGAGCGGCCATCCAATCCAGTTGACCAGGTGACTGTGGGGACTTCCATCCTCTTCTGCTTCATCTAGCTCTTGCTCAGTCTCCAACCCAACCAATTTCTCACATTACCTCAGGGTGGGGTCTAATAGTAATAAGAAAAGGAAGGCAAGGAAATTCCACTACTGGTAGAAAAGTACTAGATTTAGTTCAGAAGACCTCAGTTCAAATCCTGGCTCTGCTAATTACTAACTGGGTGATATTAGGCAAGTTACTTTACATTTATAAGCATTGGTTCTTCATCTATAAAGGGAAGGAATTGGACTAGATGTCCCTTCTATCTCTAAATCTGATACTTGAATCTATAAAATGAAAGGAATGACTAGGTTAAGGATTCTTAATGTGGAGTCCATGGACTCCTCTTCGGTCTGTAGATAGATTTCAGTACATGTGGGAATTTCTGTTTATTTTTAAAATATGCTGATAACTATATTTCAATATAGTTAATTTCCTTTGTGATCCTATGTATATTATGTTATACACTGACAAGCATTATTCTGAGGAGTCCAGTCTCTTCATCAGACTTCCAGTGAGGTCCATGATCCGAGCTGGGTTCAAACCCCCCCTGAAATAAATGATCCCCCAAATTCCTTCCATCTTTAAATCTCATGAATATGCAGCTCCACCCCTGCCATCCTGCAATTCCAATGGCCCTGGTTCTCCAACCCAACACTGGTTTCATTAACAGCATCTCCAATCCCATGCCATCACTTACTGTTTTTTTAACCCCAAAGCCCCACCGTTCACTTCCAAGATGAAATTCTGAAGATATCCCAAGTCTGATTTTCTCCTTAAATATAAAAGAATTTGACTCCATTGGAGGTTCCCTAAGTGTTTTCAGCAATAGTAGCAATGGAAGGAACAGTACAGAAAGTTATAATATTTTCTCCTATGTCCTTATCCCTTTCACTCACTCAAGGGAAAGGGAAAGGGGAAGGGGAAGGGAAGTTATAAATAGGGGTTATTGCTGACCCTGGAGTAGACAAAGAACGGAAATATTATTTGCCAGCATTCAAGAGGGAAAAGACACTCAGGCTAGTTTGAGCTTTCCATTCTAGGAGCTGCAGTTCTAGGAGGAGGGTAGGACAATGAGGAGATGGGATGGGATGGGATGGGATTGGGGATGGTGCCAATGAGACCAGCACCAAGACTGGGGAAGCAGCAGGGGCGAAGAGAATGAAGAACAGCTTGAAATGTTTAAGGTTCGTTTCTGCCCCCTCCCCCAAGTCCTTTCTTCCTGTTCATTCCTTCCCTCTAGAGTTCCCATTCCTCCCTCTTCTTTTGCCCCCTCCTCTGTCCTCATCCACTTTCCTGAACCACAGGGCCACCACCAGAGACAGAGCTGAGAGGTCTCCAGTTGTACTGCCGTAAAAGTAGGAAGGGTCTGAGAGTTCATGCTGAAATTTTGCATGAGTTTTATTTTATAAAAGTGTATGTTAACAATATTTTCCTTTTTTTTCCTGTAATGTTACTATCACTTTCAATAGCTCCCCTCCCCCAACAGAGCCCTTCTTTGTAACAAATAAACATGGGCAATTTAATGCATTTCTCCCAAAGAAGTGGGAATATTTGGTTACACAGTGTACGTGACACAAGTGTTTGGCTCCTGTGGACAAGTGCTTTTGCCCTCTCCTCCCTTCCCCCCTTCTTTTCCCCCACCCCAGGCCTATTTCTTCATCTGTAAAATGGCAGAGTTGGGTTAAAAGTCCTTTCTAGGTCAGATTACTATCATACTTCAGGTATATTATGCTTAAAATGGTTTGTGAGGGCTGGACACCTAACCACCATATTTCAGATTGTTTCTATGGAAAAATATCTTCTATGAGGCAGTACTGTAGAGTGGGATAGAGCACAGGACTACGGATGAGAAGATCTGGTTTTGAATCCTGCCTTACAAACTTATTAGCTGCAGGATCATAGGCAAGAGAGAACTTGGGATTCTTCATCATATGGTCTACCTTAGAGGATTGTAGGGAGAGTGCTTTAACAAACCATAAAATGTTGCTTGTTGTTGCTATGGTTTGGATCTTTAGGAGCACAGCTTGTTTATGAGATGATAACACATTATATTGCCTTGCATTGTTCTCTCTATCAGACTGTGTGTACCACACAGCCAAATACAGGACTCTTCCTCTTAACTGTTTCATGTACATATGCCTTGTGTCCATTGTAAAGACTGTAAGCTCCCTGAGGACAAGGCTTGAGAATTCCCTTCTTAATTCAAACCCTGCCAGTGTAGTAACTGAGCCACAATTACTGACCCAAGGGACTGTGTGTTCTAGGTTGAGGTTCACAAACATTTGCCTCAGGGTTTCTGGGCTACATCTTTGTTATTTCATGGATAAGTTACATAAATGTTTCAGATGTTTCTCCACCAAAGACTCTCAAGGCTGGAAGAGACCTCAGAGGTCATCCAGTCCAATCCATACTTGAGCAGAAATCCCCACTTCAACATTTCTAACAACTGAAGACCATCAGTGATGGGGTGTTCCCTGTTGTCTGAGGCAGGACATTCTACTTTGGGCTATTTCTGATCATTAGGAAGCTCTAATATTAAATTGAAATTCACCTCCCAGTAACTTCCATTCTGGGACCAAGCAGAAAAAGTCAAATCCTTCCATTGCACCAATGGTCCTTTTCCAAACAATACGCACTAAAATAAATACCTAATATGCTGAGGGCATGAACACGGGGGCTTAATCCAAGCAAATGAGGGGATAGGTCAAATAAAGGAGAGCAACATTTCATGTGATTTACTTACTCTGTTCTCTGTCACATGGCCACAGGGCCCTAGACCCTCTATTCCCACTCCTCTAAACACTTAATTAGGTATCACTCAGTTACTTGCTTTTCAGAGAAATATCTAAAAAGAGGCATCAGAAGACAAGCGCTCATAACCAAGTCAAATTTACAAGAATATAAACCATTCCCCAACTGATAAATGGCCAAATGATATGAACAGGCAATTTTCAGATAAAGAAATCATTTCTAGAGGCATATGAAGAAGTTCTCTAAATCACTTTTGATTGGAGAAAGGCAAATTAAAACAACTCTGAGGTACCACCTCACACTTATCAGATTGGCTAATATGACAGAAAAGGAAAATGATAAATGCTACAGAAAATGTGGGAAAATTGGGATATTAATGCACTGTTGGAATTGTGAACTGATCCAACCATTCTGGTGAGCAATTTGGAATTATGTCCAAAGGGCAACCAAACTGTGCATATCCTTTGATCTAGAAATACTAGTACTAGGTCTGTATCCCAAAGAGATCATAAAAAAGGGCAAAGGACCTAGGTATACAAAAATACTTATATCAACCCTTTTTGTGGTAGTTAAATATTGAAAAGTGAGGGGATGCCCATTAATTGGGGAATGGCTGGACAAGCTGTGGTATATGAATGTAATGGAATACTTTTGTGTAATAAGAAATGATGAGCAGGCAGACTTCAGAAAAACCTGGAAAGACTTGTACAAACTGATGCAAAGTGAAACGAGCAGAACCAGAAAAACACTGTACACAGGATCCCCCAAACTGTGTGATGATCAACTAGGAAAGACTCAGTTCTTCTCAGCAACACAATGACCCAAGACAATTCCAAAGGACTCATGAAGGAAAATGCTAACCACATCCAGATAAAAAACTGATGGACTCTGAATGGAGATCAAAGCATATTTTTTTCACTTACTCTACTCTTTCTTGTGTTTTTTTCCCTTTTTTTCTTTCACAACTGTGACTAATATGGAGATACTTTTACATGGTAGCACATGTATGAAACTGCCTACCATTTTCAGAAGAGGGGAGGGGAGGAGGGAGAAAATTTTGGAACTCAAAATCTTGTAAAAATGAATGCTGAAAATTTTCTTGACATGTAGCTGGGGGAAAATACTATTAAAAATAGCATTAATAACGCATTTTTTAAATGTGAAAAAGAGAAAAGAAGACAAGTGCTCATGGTGAAGGTGGAAGGAAGTTGGCCCTCCCCGTGGAGCTCACTGGGCCAATAAGACCTATATTGGACTTGGAGGAGCTTACTGGACCCATGCTACTATAAGAAAGGTTCTAGTCCATGACTTGCTCACCTTTGTGGTGATATGGAGCATTTTTATGAAGCTGAGATTGGCCCAATGCTGACTATGAAGACATGCTCTGTCTACTGAGTTCCCACCTGGCAAGTCACCCCCTGAACCCACCTTGATTTGCCTGGAAAAGGACTCAGAGTTTCCTTCCAAATCTGCTCATAACCTGACAGAATGGGCCAGTTCTCATGGCTGGTCTCATGTCTTCTCTCAGAGTTCTCAAAGACCTTGCCTGAAGTTTGCAGAGGCCCAGGGACTCTCTTGTCCCCAGCCAGACCTCTTAAACCAAAGAACAGCATGCAAGCTTTCTATTAGTGGGGTATCAAGCTTATGTATTCAGAGAGGGTAGGCTCCTGGAAGCCAGGAGGAATGCCAGGGATTGGAGGATGAAGCAGCCCCTCTCTAAGCGATAACATCAGGGTGCCAGCAGTCAGAACACCAGAATTGGGCAAGTGTTCATCGGCTTCACCCTGAAGCCTCCCTCTGGTCCATTGGGGCGGGCCAGGGAAAACCACAGCATCATATCCTGGAGCCTTTAGGAGCGCAGCTTAGCCTGAAAGTGCTCACAGCAGGCATGCTTCATGGTCAAGCCGTAGATTGGGGTCAAGTCCACCTTCACTCCAGAGGGGACACTGAACTCCATCTGATGCAGCAGGATGGCCAGGAAGAGGAAGACTTGCCACCGGCCAATAGTCTCTCCAATGCACTTCCTTTTCCCCAGGCCAAACATAATCACCTTCTCACTCAGGGCTTTGTTGATAGTTCCATCTGCACTGAGGAATCGCTCTGGCCGGAACACTGATGGGTCCCCCCATATTTTCCTGTCACAGGAGGAACAACAGATGAGATGGGCATTTGGGAGATAGGGCAGGGCCTCTAAACAGGGGTCAGAGCCCTAGATCCAGACTGAGAGCTGGGGAGTAGAGAGCAAAGACAGTGTAGCATGTGAGTGAGTACCCTGCCCTGTAAGCCCATTCCCCAGGGGCTGGCCCAGTCTAGACCTCAGGCCCAAGGCCTAGCTTCTTAAGGGTGGCCCAGAAAGCTTTGCACTGAGGAGGTCCCTTTCTTTCCACCTGGTTGATGAGCATCATTAGACACACCCAAGGCTCTCCACCAAGACCCCTGTCAGGTCCCAGGGTTGACTTACTGGTCGTGGTTAATCTGCCATTGGTTCACAAAGACATAGCGTCCCTTGGGAATGTAGAAGTTGTTCAGAGTCGTGGCTCTGGTTGTGCTGAATGGGGCAAGAAGCCTTTGTCAGGCTCAGGAGAAGGTTGGGGAGGGGGGGAATGGGCGTGTCCCCCATGGCTCCCTGCTTCTCTTTGCAGACACCCCTGGCTGCCATGACCACTGTTCTCTTCCCTCAGTAATGACTAAGGGAACAGAGGTTGTGAGAGACTGACACCCACTTCCCTGAACTCCCTCATTAACTCCCTCATTCTGTCCTAGAGACATCTGGACTTGTGCATGGGGAATGATTCTCCTCCCATCATCTGCCTCTTCCCACAATGGCCTCGTTTCGTCTTATTCCTCATGACTTCTGGGTACTGAGGAGAACGTGAAACTTAGGTGTGGATACCCCATCCTCTTGCTTACAAGGTCTCACCTGTGGGGGATAGTAAAGGGGAGGAAAGAAGAGTGCCTGAAAGTTTCCAGGATGAAGGCCTCCATGTAGGGGAGGTGAGGTTTGTCTGAGAGGTTGGGCCACCGCTCTCTGCCAATCACAGTGTCTGCAGGACAAAGGAGAGTTAAATGGGGCAGGTTTGAAGCCAACCCTGCCTCTGGGTCCTGAGGGCTCCCCACCCCTCACTCCAGCCCTGGAAAGAGCCAGCGAAGGTCTTGCCACTCGCTCCACCTACCCAGCTCCTCTTGGATCTTCTTCTGTATCTCAGGCTTTGTCACAAGGTACATGAGGCTCCAGGAGATGGCCGTGGTGACAGTGTCAAAGCCTGAACAGAGCATTAGGAGAATAATAACAACAATAATTATAGCCATGAAGGAGGTGCTAGTATTATCCCCGTTTTACAGATAAGGAAACTGGGGCTGAGAGGTATGAAATGATTAAGCGTCTAAGATGAGGTTTGAACTCAGATGTCTCCTGACCCCAAGTCCAGTGCTCCAAACCCCTAGCTCCATGAATTTGGGTGACATGATATAGTCTTTCCAAATGCTTTCACAAATGTTAGGCTGTCAGGTCATTACTACACTCCGTGGAAGAGAGTAGTGATTATTATTCCCCATTTTATAGATGAGAAAATCAAGGCCTACAGAGGCTAAGGGACTTGCCTTGGATCACTCCAGTATGTTACTGGTAGAGCTGGGACTAGAGACTAGATAGTCAATGTTCTTTTTACTGTATGAAAGGGCCTTCTTGATATGGGCCAAGAGAAGCCAGCCATCTTCGGATCCTAGCCATTTCCTTTGGGTTGGATATCATAGATCTCTTAATTAATGCCCATGGCAAGCTCTCAGATTTTGTAGGGAAAATTTTGCTCCATGATCCCTGAGGCCCAAAGGTATGGGCCAAAACTCCCCTTGGACTTTCCTGGGGAAGAACTTGTCCCTAAATAAGGGCATCTTGATGGCTATAGGAGTTTATTGAAAGATGCAGTTGAATGAAATTAAGATGGCTGGTTTTCCCCTGAATTCAGATTGAAAATAGGCTGGAAGGTCCTAGGGGCCCTGGAAAAGACCAGCCTTATCCATAGACAGAGTGGGCTGCCAATGCAGTATGCTTTGAGGGATATCAGAAAAACCTGCTTTATCCCCTAAATATCTCCATTCCTGGGCTGCCATACTGCCTGGCATTCCACCATTAGGGCTTTGTTCCTCTCGGTTAAATGTAAGTACATTGGGGGGGGGCAGGGAGAGATAGCATTTATCAGACAAGAGCACCTTAAGGTGACTGAGTCTACTAGAACTTTTCTAGCTAGGGATCAGTTAAAAGTAGGTCAGGAAAGACACAAAACATAAGTAAGTTCTGATAGAGAAGAGGGTAGAAAGAAGTATGGGAGAAAGGAATCATAGGTAGCTGTGGAGGGCAGTGCCTGGCCCTGGAATGCTGGAAGGAACCTGAGGGGAGGTGAGGGACCCATGGAGATCCTGGTCAACCTCCCAGCTGTGCCCAAGGCTGGAGCAGAACTGGGCATTTGGAGGGGCAGGACGGAAGGTTGCTCTTACCAGCTCCAAAAATGTCCATGACAGTGTTCACAGTCTTCTTTTCTGACAGCAGGACATTAGCATTCTCATCCAACTTCTCTTCCTGGCAATGTTCAATTAGGCTGTCTGTGATGTCCCGAATGCAGCCCTGGTGGGGCAAGGCTAGAGGGTTAGGGCAAGCACCAAACTGCAGCTCTCTTTACCCTCTTCAAACCCCATTCTTTCTCATCTCTGCACCTTTTCTCAAGTTATTTTCCCTCCCTGGAATGGTTGGTCCTTTCCTAGCTAAATCTTTCCCATTCTGCCAGGTCCAGGGAAACACCTACTTCTTCTAGGAAACTTTCTCTGATCTTTCTGAGCCTTCAGTGACCTTGTCCTTTTCTAAACTCTTCTAGGACCCACTTATATGGTTCTTCCTATCTGATTTTTTTAAAAAGAGGTGATTAGGGTTAAGTGACTTGCTCAGGGTCACACAGCTAAGTGTCTGAGGCCAGCTTTGAACTTAGGTCCTTCTGACTTTAGGGCTGGTGCTCTATCCAAGAATACCTGATATTGATAGCTAGTCTTTTCTCTGCAACTAGACTGTAAGCTCTTACAGAGCAAGGATTGAGGCTTACCTCCTGAAGTCTCCCAAGGTGACTTGAATATAGAACACGTTCAATAGACATTCATTCCCTGCCTGGCTCAACTGGCTGACCCAAACCCTCAGGCCACCCTCTCCTCCTCTACCTCTTCTCTCCTCCCATACACATTTAGTAAGATGTCATATTTCTCCTTCTTCCCAGCTAGGCTTGAAGTCAACACAGTTCCCCTTTGTTACCTTTTCAAACTTCTTGTAATGTTCTTTCACCAACTTTTGAATGAAGTTAGTCATTTTCTCATTCAAGTCCCTGAAGGCTGGTATGTTGCTACTCGGCAGGTATCGCAGGACAGGGATGAAATCAACCAGATTCCCAGAGGCAATGACATCACTAAACTTACTACTCAGAGTGACAATACTAAGTAGTTCTTGGTTTTCATGGTCGTAGCGCGTTCCGAAGCAAATGGCACAGATGACATTGGCCACAGACATCACCACATATCTGAAGGGGTCAAAGTGCCCCTTCTGCTCCAGGAACTTCTGGATCAAGTATTCAGCCTCTTTGTGCACATGCTCCTCCAGGTAGCAGGAGGAAGAGGACGGGGAGGAGGACACAGAGAAGGTCTTCAGGGCACTCTGGGCCAGCTTCCTTTGAGCTGCCCAGACTTCCCCTGAATCAGCAGTAAAAGTAAAGGACTTGCCATTGGAAATTAAGGAGAAGGTGTAAAGATCAGGTCGGCCTTTAAAGTCATCCCCCTGCTTCACCAGGGCCTGCCTGATCGTTTCCAGGCCACTCAGCACAAGCACTGGGGTGGAGCCAATCTGAATCTGCATCACATCCCCATACTTCTCTCTCAGTTGGGTCAGGGCAATGTGGGGATTCTTCCCCAGAGTCAACATGTTGCCAATCAGAGGCCAAGCCCAGGGTCCAGGTGGGCTCTTTAGTCCTTTGGGTACCCTTTGTGGGTAAGATTCAATGATCCAGAAGACCAGGCAGAAGACAGCAGAGGCCAGAAGGAGCTCTGTGACAGTGAAGGATTCGGGAAGTGCCAACATGGAAAGTGCACTTGCTGCCATCTTTGGTATTTAGCAAAAATTATAGCTGTTGAGACAAAGGCAGGAGGAAAAACCTGTAAGACCATGGGAATGGGAAACTGGAGGAGGGCTCAGGAGGTATCTAGTGTTCCTGTGAGCCCAACGATGAGCAGTGATGGGAAGATGGGCTAAGTCAGAGGAAGGGGAAGTACTGACTCGCCATCCCTTCAGACAAAGAATGCCTGCCGACTTGGAGCAAGGACTCAGGGAGGTTGAGGGCTGTCCCTCGATGGTACCGAAGGGAAGCAATGGTGAACCTGGCAAGTCTTTTGATTTCTGTAGCCCCCTGAATCCTAGGTGCATCCTTCCTCCTCACTCTCTTGTACTGCTGAGCTTCCCCCACCAAAAACCAGAAGCAGAGATTAGACCATGAGGGGTCTTCAGAATGCCAGAACAGCCTTGGACCAGGGAGGGTGTTCCCTTAGAGGATGAAAACTTGCCCCAATGGCCTCTGCACTCCAGGGAGGCCCTTGGGCTTGACCTTTTGGATAACTTGTAGTAATGGTTCCTCTAATTAAGCCAGGCTCCTTCCACCTTCTCCCTCCACCACCGCTGTACCCTCACAGGAGTCTTGGAGCATAGAATTTTACAGATGGAAGGAAAGGTAGAGTTCATCTGGCCCAATCCCATCATTTACAGATGAAGAAACTGAAGCCAGAAAGGTTAAAGGTTATATACTGAGTTAATGGCAAAGCTAGGACTTAAACCCAGGTCTTCTGAATAGAAGGTTGTACTCCGCCCACTGGCCCACACTGCCTTCCTTTGCTCATGCTCTTCTTTCTCCCCAAATATCCTCACTCCTTTCTGCCTAATCCAAATTCAACCCAGTTTAATCCCTCAGTCTCCCTGATAACACCTACCTAGGGAGGTCTAGTGCCTTCCTGACTGACTATAGCATCATTTATTTTGGCAATTATAGCCATAGAATGGCAGAAATGGAAGGGACTGCCAGGGATCATTGGTGCACCCTCCCCACAGAGGAGGAAGTGAAGTCCTGGGGGACCTGACTTGTCTCAAGCCCCATAGCAAATTAGGATAGAAACAAGCTTGGGACCCAGGGCTCCTGAAGCAACTGACCACTGAGCTGGGACTGTCCCCTACCTTTCCCTCCCTCATTTTCCCATGTGCATGCCTTGTCTCTCTCTAACCAGATCCAGAGGTGTTTTTTTTCTCCCCCTCCTCCCCTTCCCTTTCTCCTTCTCCTCTTTCTCCTCTTCCTCCTCCTCCTCCTCTTCTGCCTGTCTCTCATCTCCCTCCCTCCTCTTCCTCCTTCTCTCTCTCCCCTCCTCCTCTTCCTCCCCTTCTTCCTCCTTCTACCCCTGCCCTTCCTCCTTCTTTTCCTTCCTCTTCCCCACCTCTCCTCCTCTCTCTCCTCCTTTTCTCTTTCCTCTCCTCTCCACTTTCTCCACCTCCCCCTACCCTTTTTCCTCTTCCTCCTTTCTCTCCTCCCCTCTCCCTTTCCTCCTCCTCCTCTTTCTCCTCTTCCTCCTCCTCCTCTCCTCTCCCTCCTGTCTCTTTGGCCTTGTAGTCAGGCACAGGGCTGGGTCCACAGGAAGGGCTTAACAAAACTTACTGAACTCAGGGCCCTGAGAATTTTGCATTCAGGGACCCAGAACTTAAATTAACCAGCATTGGTTGCTCAGATTCAGTTGAGAGATAGCATCAGGGCAGATGCTATAGTCTAGGAGGCTAATAGGAACTGGGGACAGGGAGGGGGACGTGCCAGAGATCCTTCCCTCCAAACTTTTCCTGGGTATAAGGGCATGTCCAGGACCTCCCCTCAGCACCTAGATACTTGCCCCAGTGACCTGCCCTCTTGGGAATAGCCTAAGGGGTTAAGAGGGAAGCACTTTCCCTATCCCTATACAGTTTTAGTCAGGAAAGATAAGCGGCCAAGTCCCCTCCTCTTTATCCCAGTCTGCAAACAAGGACCCAACAACTTGTCCTCCTGGGATATTGACACTGTTGGAACTTAGGGTTCCAGGTGGTGGGAACACAAAATGTCCTACCTTATCTATCCTGGAGGGCAGCTAGATGGTGAGGTGGGTAGAGCGCCAGGCCTGAAATCAGGAAGATTCATCATCCTGAGTTCAAATCTGGCCTCAGACACTTATTAGCTGTATGATCTTGGGCAAGTCACTTAACCCTGTTTGCCTCAGTTTTCTCATCTGTAAATTGACCTGGAGAAGGAAATGGCAAACCTTTCCAATATCTTTGCCAAGAAAACCCCAAAGGGGGTCATGAAAGGACTGAACAACAAATCTATCCTGGAGATACAGAATAAGAGTCTAGATCCCTGATCCCTTGGGGAGAGTCAACTCATATCCAACCTTGAGTTATATGCACTTCTGTTTAAAGTCCAATCTGCAAAAGGAAGAGCAGCTCAATGAAATGATAAATGTTTACTAAGCACCTATTATGTACTTCGAACCACCCTGGTAAGAGCAGAGAGGGGCAGAATGAGGGTATGCCAACAGAACTGATTTCAGAACTTATCTAGCCAGCTTTCTTCAACTCTGCTGCAAGCCTGGGAGGCGGGCCATTGTATCTACCAAAGCCCTGAGGCTGGGCCATAAGCCTTGTCATTCAGCACATAAAGCACTGAAGGCAGTCTGTAGCTAGCTCCCAGTCAGTGGCGTCAGGGTTGGAATAAGGGGGAAAGTTAGGGGCAAGGGATGATCTGATGTGCTCATTAGAGAAAGACAAGAGTCGATCCCTAGGGTGGAGAAATCCAGTCCATAGTTTTCTTCTCACTTTATTCCCAATGAATGAATGATAAGATACTACTCTATCAGCCAGTCACCAAGGGAAAAGCAATACTCAAAAAGTGTTCTGCTGATTGAGGCTGCAAAGAAACTCCTGCCTGGCATTCTGGAGTAGATCCTAACACAAAGGGCACTCCTTTTTTGGCCTAGACTCTAAGAAAAAACGCACAGTGGTGAATGCAAATACAGCTACTCGCCTCTCAGGAGCAGCACGTTAGAGACAGACATCAGAAGAGAGCCGGCTCTGCATACAGCCCTGGGGCATCGACTCAGTATCTAGCCCATTGCCTTGCAATTAGAAGATTCTCAAGGAATATTTGCTGGGTGAATGAATCACCAAATAAATGAATAAAAGGGTCGTAGAAACAGCAGCATTCAGGGAGCTGGGAAGCCTCCTATCCTCGCTAGGCTAGCCACCAGCTGTGGCTCAGCAGCACTTCTGGACCGTAGGTATTTCATCTCTTTCAGCTTTCCCACCACGGCAGGAGGCAAAGGGAGGCGTAGTCAACGGATTCTCAGGAACACGGTATTCCTTTTGCTTTAAGACACTGATTGTCTTAAACCACAGGACTAAACCCGGGCAAAACTCGAGGAGTGCAGTGACCAGTAGAAACCCCCCCAACTCTTTCCCAGAAGTTAAGATGCTAGTTGAGAATGGGATGGGCATTGAGCTGTGTCACAGCAAGCCACCAGGGTCCTACTCAGACTAGGCGTGGCAGATAGCAAGCAGTCTTTTTCTGGAAGGGATTTCTAAGCTCAGCTTATTCCACTGAAGGTCACAGTTGGATCCGGTCTATGGGAACAGGCCTAACACTGGTGAGTTCTTCTGTAAAGCATCAAGCTGCATCACCCTCATTTTCTTCTCTGAAGTATGAGATTCCTTTCTTGAAGTACCTATTTATACTTGTAAGATCTGCAAGAGCAGGAATGTTTTCATTTTTATCTTTAGATTTCAGTATCTAGCAAAGTCTGAATTGTAGAATCTATACATAGGAGATACTTCATACTTGCTTGCTGAATTAAATTTAAATTGCCTGCCTGCCTGATCACCTCACTTATGGAATTATATATACTTCAACCTTCCCAGTCTGATTCTTTTATTCAAAGGTTCCACAAATTTACAAGCTGGTTGCCTTCAGAGGAGAGGGGTAGATATTAGAAGAATAGAGGCTAGTAAGGGAAGGAAGGAAGGTGGGGGGGATGTCCGGACATTGAAATTAAATGGAGTTGAATGTTACACAACTGAGTCCAACTGCTTCATTTGTACTGGTGAGAGAAACTGAGGCCCAGAGAGAGGCAGGGACTTTCTAAGAGCACACAGTTAGTTAGTGACCAAGATGAGACCAGAGCCCAAGTTTCTTGACTCCTAGTACACTACAAAGATTCATAGAATCTCAGAGTTGGAAGGAAGCTCAGATGTCAGCTAGTCCCATAGGTACCTAAAAGGAATCCCCTCTCTTTCCCTGACCAGTCGTCATGTAGCCCTCTATTTAAAGACCCACAGTTGTGGGGTAGGGTAGGGTGGGGGCTCATTCCTTTCTGAGGCAGCTTGTTCTGCATTTGGACAATTCAAAGTTTTTTCCCCCCTTACATCAAGCTTAAATCTGCCTCTGCTACTTCCACCCATCATCAGTCCTACTTCTGTCTTCTTTGGCCAAGCAGAAGAAATCTAATCTCTCTTCTACATGACATCGCTTCAACTGCCTGAAAATTCTGGTCAATACTCCTTTTCTCCCTCACCTCCATCAAGTCGTCTCCTCTTTGGGCTTGCCATCCCTAGTTCTTTCACCTGATCCTTATATAATATGATCTTGAGGTCTCTCACCACACCAGGCACATGCCACTGAATGTACTTTAGCTAGTTAAGGTTTCCCTTTAAAACAGAGTGTCCATAACTACTATAGGTGTGGGCCAACCAAATATTTGTATTATTACATTATATTGCCAGCTTAGATCAGGAAAATGAAATTGATCTCAAAAAAATAAAGAAACTAGATAAGAAATATAACCTGGCAGACTTGATCCCCCCATCCACTATGCCCCCTTTCAGTCTAACAGTTTTGAAGGGCTGCTCCAATTTCTGTAGCAGAGCTCCCAGGACATCCTTATCCCCAGCCAGTTAGAGAAAAGACAGAAGGACTAGAGAAAATCACAGGCTCATCCCTAGATTTGAGATCCTTGGAGGCTGTGGCACAGCTGGAATGGGTACCCTGGAGGCCTGAGAAGTAATGCCTGGAACACTTCCTGGCAGAATAGGTATTTAATCCATGTTGATTGATAATAGTGATGTAATAATATCACATGGATATAGAGCTCTAAGGTTCATGAAAATTCACTTCTCACAACAATCCTGTGAGATAAGTAATGCAAGGATTATCACCCCCATTTTACAGGTAATGAAACTGAGGCTAAGAGAAATTAAGTGATGCCCCTGCTGAGGATCACACAAACTGTTGAAGGGCAGAGCCAGGATTCAATCCCCAGTGCCCTAGATTCAAATCTAGTGTTCTTTCCACTACATTAAATGTAGAGTTGACTGCAGAATCCTGGGCTCTTAGGGTTATAGAAGGAGAATGGAACCAGGAATTAGGAGGACACCTGAGCTACAACCCTGGCCCAGTTGGACTGAATGACCTTGGATAAGTCACTTGACCTGTGTGAAGCCTGCCTTTCTTCTCTGATCTCTCAGGGCCCTTCCTGCTCTAAAATCTGATGACTCCCAGTCTCGGATGCCCTGCAAAGATCAGGAGTCGGAGAACGGTTTTCCTTAATTGTTGAGGGAAAAGTAGAGAAGACCCCAGCACTTACCTGTGCCTGACAGGGTCAATCTGGGCTGAGAATCAGAGAAGTCTAAGACAGAGGGCTCGCTCAATCTTGGCGGAAAGATGCCAAGAAGTAATCACCTCATTAGAAGATGTGGAGAAGGGAGCTTTCTGCAAACCTTTATATGCAACTAGCCTCATCCTTATTGGCTGAGGTGATTGGCAACGTCTCGGAAACGCCCTCTAGTGGGGCGGGGCGAGTTGGTGGGGGTCTGCTGGGACGTAGAGGAGGATGTACCCCGAGTCAGAACAGGGATGTGGGTGTTTTATCTACATTTATTGGCGGGGGACCAGGGGAGCAGGAGGGATGGGATTCTAACTCACTAGGGGGGCGCCCTGGACCGGGGGTATATTATTAGAGGGGGCAAGGGTCGGGCACTCTTGGGCCCCCTAAGAGCTTATACGAAGAGCGAACCCTCAGGTATAAGCAGACTTCCAAAACTGAATTTTCGGAGGGCGCAGGTAGTCAGTCCAACCGGAGGTAGGGTGGAAGGAACATCACCCTCACTTCTTGAGAGCTTTAGGGCAATTACTGAATGCAGAGTTGGAGGAAGTGCTGATATCTGGGGATCCTTTCCCCAGAGTTCCATGCTGAACATCTCAATCCCTATCCACTACCACTCCCATCCCCCTTGCATGCACACAGAAGCTCCCTGCCGGCTACCAATCAAGCGAAATATTTGTAAAAGCGCTCAGTGCAGTGCCTAGCACATAGTAGGCTCTTAATAACGTGTTTATTCCCTTCCACTTAGCCTTCAGGGTAAGGCGGGGCGGGGGGGGGTAGAGATGAGGATGTTACTGATCTATCTGGGTACCCGCCTCCCAGGAGCGGTAGGTGGCTTGGCTCAGGTTACACAGTGTCCAGGTTCGCGTGAGAGATTTATCTCGCCCTTCGACCCGGGGTCAGATATCACCGGGAAGGGGCCGGGGTCAGCCAGGAGGGAGGGCAACTGGCGGGGCCGGTGGGGAAGGGAGGGGGGGTGGAGAAGGGAACGGAGGAAGGGAGAAGGGGAGAAAGGAAGGCAAAGGAGTCCGCTTCTTCTGATCCAACTGCAGGCTGCCCTCTCGGGCAAAGCTCCTACGTAGCTCTCCAGCCTCGCTGCCCAAGAGTCCTAACTTTTACGCCAGGCTCACCGCCAGTCTTCAAGCTCTGCCAGGGCGTCGCGTACCCATCCTTCCAGAGCGGTACGACCCCGAAGCGTTTTTCAACACACCTTCTGGTTATAGACGAAGCAGGCTTATCATTTTCCAAATAGAAATTTTCAAAACACATTTTTTAAAAAAATGCTTTGATTTATATGTATTTGCGCGACAGAGGATTTTTAAGGAGTGTGGAGAAAACTTAAAACTTGCTTAGATAGTCGTGAATGAGCTCAAGGCGGGAAAGGGGGGTAGAGGGGATCCCACGAAGGCCCAAAGACCCGTCTACTCTTCCGGGTTCTCCCCTTCCTCCTACTCCCTTGTCTTCCTTAATGCCCACCCACAGCACCTCGTCCTTCGAGGCCACACAGACCCCAGGGCTTAGTCAGCCCGCCAGAGTTGGAGAAGGGTCTTCGACCTTTCAGCAAAATGAGTGCAACCTGTTACCCACCCCGTGCTACAGAAGCTATATACTTAAAATGTAGAATAAGACTTAGACCTTTGGACCTGGCTACAGGGGGAGTTAGAGATGCTTAATTATGCACATTGCTTATGGGGGGGGTTCTTTTTATTGTTCAATTGAGGCAAGCTGTAGGAGGGAGCGTTGATAAAAGCTTGATATACACATATACATACACACATATATACTTATATATATATATATATATACACATACATATATAAGTGTATACGTATGTATATACTTTTTAAAAAGTGGGTGCGACCCCCTCCCAGCAGTACGGGCTGCGTGCCGAGGGAACTGGGTTCAGCGCTATCTCCTGCCACCAATCTCCAGGCTGATGCCTTTCTCGCTGGCACTCGGGCGAGCGGCTGCGGCGGCGAGTCTGCTGCTGATATGATTACCTTGGCTCCCCTCACCGAGCCAGTTCATAAGGTTTGACCTCTGGCAAGCCAAGGCAGAGTTGCGTGAGAAGTGATGGTGAGGGCGGGCGTAGAGTCCCCCAGCAGGCTGGCCGCCTGATGCAGGACACCTAGTCACGCAAAGGGAGGGGGGAGGAGAAGGAAAAAGGGGTGGAGGAGAATAAGGAGGAGGAGAAGGGGAAGGAAGGAAGGCTGCTCTTAAAGGGCCAAGTCAGCAACCACGCGAAGGAATTCCAGGAATTACGGGACTGGCCTCGAGAAGCGACGAGACCCGGAGCTGCAGCCTAGCGTCCCGGGGTGTGTGCCTAGCCCAGCCCTGGCCAGGAAGAGCCAGCACCATCGGCACGCTCCTCAGACACCTGGCACGCACTTTCCCGAAAGCATCCTCTCTTTCCCCCCTCCCCACCTGGCAGCTGACACAGCTGGCAGCCTTGGGTGGAAAAATTCAGATGCCCTGTGGCCCCCGGGGGCAATAAATCCAGCTTCTCGAAGAGTCAGAGCAAAAGCGCTGGCTCCTCAGCACCCTACTCCCGCCATTCAAGATTTCCCGAAAGAGAACAAGCCAGGGATAGGGCCCGTGGGGTTCGGAACCAGCCCAAGTTGCTGGTCTGCCAGTAGTACCCCTGATTACGAAAGGCAGATGGCAATCTGGGAGACGAAAGCTACCCGAACCAAGTTCCCCAGCCGCGGGTGGTTTTATTCATTTGGTGTATTGGATTGGGGGCTCTCATGCAGCTCCCCCTCCCTAGGACACACCAAGCCGAATGCAAAAGGACAGAATTGAGAGAATTCAGAAAGTAGGTCTCTCAATCCCCTTGGCTAGGGGTCGAAATTCAAATACTAATTTACCCGACGTACTTAATAGCCCAGATGCGTCCTGTCACCCAGTCTTGAAGGGCAGAGACTTTAATAATTCTTTGTACCAATCCCCCTTCCCCCAGAAGCACCCAATTTAAGACTGAATTCAATGAGTGCCTATTGTCTGATTGGTTGAATTTATTAAGACCACGTCTTGACTTTAGGCGACTACTGAATACCAGAGGCATAATAGAGAGATGGAATAGCTAGTGGGCCTTAGAGCTGGCCTCAGAAGGCAGGCTGGTGTTCCCGTCTCCAAGTCCCCAGCCCTGCCCCCCAATATCGGCCGTGTGAGGTGGGGTCCAGGGCACCGGGGAAATCACTCAATCTCTCTGTGCTCTCAGCAGCTCTTTAGGAATTCCCTACCTCAATGAAATCAGAGGTCCAATCCCTATTCCTACTATGTGCTAGGCCCAGGGGATACAAAGAAATGAAACCGTCCTTCCTTCCCTTCGAGGATCTGACATGGAATGAGACTACGTACACATATTAGCACAGTGTCTGGCATATAGTAAGTGCTTAATAAATGCTTGTTGACATATATACTATGTGTGTATATATACATATACATACATTACAAAAGTGTGTATACATGTCTATCTACATCTCCAAGATTTCATTGGCATTGGGACCTCCCAATGAGTAAGAACTTCCTCTGTCAATGCAGATTAGCATTTTAAAATCTTAGCAACTGCACCTTAAAGCCACAGAGAAGTTGTAACTTACCCAGGGTCATACAATCAATATATGAACCCACACCTTGACTCTTGGGCCATATGCAAAATAAACATAAGGATGCTTATTGGTGGGATCCCCAGGTCTTAGCACAGTACCTGGCATATGGTAAGGGTTTAATAAATGCTTTATTTCTCTATCTATCTGGCAAGGTCTCATGTAGGAGATGGTACCTGAATTGTGCTTTGAAGGAAAATAGTAATTATAAGAGGTGGAGGTGAGTGCAATCTAGGTGTTCATGTGCAAAGTCACAGACACATAGATTAGCATGGGAGGAAGAACAAGAAGGCCAATTTGACTGGCCCTTAGAGCATGTGGACGGATAATTTGTAATAAGCTTGGAAAAGGAGGCTGGAGGTAGGTCAGGAAGGGTTTTAGATGTCAAAAATAGGAATCTGTACTTTTAAAGTACATTTTTATTGATGTTTTGTTTTTTACATAACTCACATTTCCCAATGTATCTTTCTCTCCTTTCCTTCCCAAAGAGTCATCTCTATAACAAAGAATAAAAAAAGAGAAACACAATTCAGAAAAACTAACCAACACATTGTAAAAAAAAAATCTGACATTATCTTCCATGTTCCACACTCAAAGTCCCATGCTGCTGTAAAGAAGGGAGGTAGGTATCTCCTTATAGCTCTTTGTTGGGGCCAAGCTTAGTCATTATCATTTCACAGAGTTTAGTTTCAATTATTTCATTGTCATTATTGTTCTTTCCATCTACAACTCTTCCCATTTATGATCGCTCTGTATGTAAGTTTCCTGCAAACTGCAGTTTGCATCAGTTCATGTAAATCTCCCATGCTTCTCTGTGTTCACCATATTCAATGTTTCTCTAGCACAATAATATTACAGTTATCTACTTGTTAACATCTTGTTTAGCCATTTCCTGAATCAATGGGTATCCTTTTGTTTTCAGTTCTTTGCAACTAAAAAGATGCTATTTCAAATGTTTTCATGTAAATGGAGCTCTTTTTTTTTTTTTAAAGTAGTTGACCTCCTCAGGCTATATGCCTGGCTGTGAAATCTCTGAATCAAAGAATATGGACATTTTAGTCACTTTGTTCACAGAATTGCAAATCACTTTCCAGAAAGTGAGACCAGTTCATACCTAGAGTAGCCTGTATTTGGTCTTAGGGAAATAGGGAGTCACCAGAATTTATTGAGTGTGATGAGACCTATACTTTAGGAGGATCATTTTCCTGTTGTTGGGGAGTGTAAAGAGAAAATCTGAATGACAGGGAGTAGTATGGGGAGCTGTGTGAGTGGGGAAAAGAAGGGCAGGAAGGGAGGTTGAGCATCTGTGACCAGGACAGGAGATTAAAGGGCCTTTGGCTTGGAGCAGAGTGTCCAATCCTGGATCAAAGGTTTTCCAACTTTGCGTGAGAAGCTCTTTGACTAGGATTCCCCAGCAGGAGCTCAGATCAATGGAGAGAATCTGCTTGGGGGAGGGGATCATC